TGTAGGTGCATTATTTTTGTATTCAATACATTTTTAGCCATAAATATTTTTTAAACAACAGCAGCAGCAGCAACGACAACAACAAACTGTCCTCCGTTGGTAACACCATTCTGTTTTGAGTTCAGAAAATTACCCCAACAGATGAGTTGAGTTGAGTCGAGAATTGACATCACAGCACTCGGGGCTTTCCTATGCATGCTCTATCCTCATCTTCAGCAGCCAGCGCAGAGTTCCAATACTGATGGTACCGGTCACAATCTGGTTAAATGTCCGTCTTGCCTTTCCTCTGAGTTTAGTCAGCCTGCGAGACCCTCTGGTTACACCCAGGTGCCTCATTTTCTCCAGGCCATAATAATCTTCTTTCTCTACTGATTCCGTAGCTTGTTCCCAAAGGGCCTTGATCACACCTGCCTTGTCATGTATCTATTCACCACCCAGTGGTGCAGATCCAACCAATCTGTCTGCCTGTTCATTACACACCACGCCGGCATAGCCTGGAGAAAAGATCCAAAGTTTGCTCACTACCCGTGACCATTCCAGTGAAGCTTGCCACTCTGCTCGAAGCATCCCTGTCTTCACCCTTTTCAGCATGCCTTTAGAGTTTGTTACATTACGACATGTGTATGCATCTTGTTCTCTAGCCACCGGAGAGCTGCAGTTACCGCCTCCACCTCCATTCTCATGCTAGATGTTGTGGTGTCATATTCTAGGCTGTCTGGCACTAAAGATTTTCCATTGGCTTTCGCTACGAACCCCCGCGTACTTCTCTTTCCTCTCAGCGCCGAACCATCTGTATAGATAATCAGATCACCTGGGCGAGAATTGTCGTAAATTAACTGTTGGACTTCAACCTCCGCAGCACCCGCTGGCCACTCTCTGCACACCCGACCCAATGTGATCATAACCCTACACAGGTCAGACTTTTCCCGCTGGTACTCTGACCCTCTCCTCGCCCAATGTTCTTCAGCATGCATACTTGTCTTATGGTGTCTTCTGCTTGAGCCAGCCGCGATTTTCCCCCTTTCAGCCTCTGACCCTGCAGCCAAAGTTTCAATTAGACCCAGCAGATGACAGCCATTCACTGTATATTGCCTAACGATTGACGGTGGAACACGTTTTTTATGGCGTCGTGTACTTCCTTTTTGTTCATATTTGTTTAACAAAGGACACACACACACACACACACGCACACACACACACGCATATATATATATATATATATATATATATATATATATATATATATATATATATATATATATATATATATATATATATATATATATATATATAACTGCCCTCTAACAACCATGTCGTGAAAGGCGACTAAGAGGAGTTTGCTGAAATCCGAGATGTGCTGGTGGTTGAACATGAGCATATATTCCCTGACTAGGTGTAAACCACAACATAGCTCGCTAGCTTTCCATTTCAAGACCAACGCAGAAAGATTGTGTGTGTGTATATATATATATATATATGTATATATATATATATATATATATATATATATATATATATATATATATATATATATATATATATATATAGAGAGAGAGAGAGAGAGAGAGAGAGAGAGAGAGTGGAGCGAGGGGTAGATAGATAGATAGATAGATAGATAGATAGATAGATAGATAGATAGATAGATAGATAGATAGATAGATAGATAGATAGATAGATAGATAGATAGATAGATAGATAGATAGATAGATGGATGGATGGATGGATGGATGGATGGATGGATGGATGGATGGATGGATGGATGGATGGATGGATGGATGGATGGATGGATGGATGGATGGATGGATGGATGGATGGATGGATGGATGGATGGATGGATGGGTTTTAGGTAGGTAGGTAGGAAAAGAGAGAGAGAGAGATTGCTAAATAAACAGAGCATACTTTATAGGTAAAATACTGTGGCTGTATTAATTTTTGAAAGGCCGAATATAAGACGGACCGATGTGCCTGGTTTTTGACACTTTAGAAATATATTTCGTATGTTCGTACGTCTGCCTGACTGCCTAATGTGTATCTCTAACAGTTGTTGGTATATAGAACGCCGAGGTATTGCACTACGCAAACTACACAAGGTTAGTAGCAACAGGAGAAAACAGCAAACAAACTACAATTAGCAATATGTGTCAAGGTCCTGGAATGCCAAGGTCGCGACATTACACGTGTGATCATGCACTATTGAAGCGTACACACTAAGAGCTGCAGTAGATAAAATAATACAGTGGTTTCCAATTTGGAGGGGGGGGGGGGATGGGGGTGGCACAAGGAAGTTTCAAAGGGGCGTCAATCAATTTAAAAGTAAGTGCGTTTGTTTTTGTAATAATCCCGTATTTAGTACACAGATTTTTGTTTTAGTGTAATTATAAATAACTCCCATGTCGACACAGCCTTAAATGGTACCCGGTGTAGTCCTGGGAAGTAAAGGCGGCCAGCGGGATGCTGACCACATCACCCATCGTGTGCCAGTTGGTGTATTTAAATATAGGTCTATATGCCCTATACGCTTGAAAGACGTGGAAAAAGGAATTTTTTTTTCTACTGAATAAAAAATAAAAAAATTGTAAAATTTATTTATTAAACAAAATGACAATGACATATTTGTTTAAATGTGCAGTTTGTTCTGTCTGTTCCCATGTTGTGGTTTTTAGAGTCACTATTGTTATGTTGGAAGGGTGAAAATGGAGGGTAGGGTGGGTGTGAAGGAGGAGGGTAGGGTATCTTGCTGTACACTCAAGGGTGTCTCTCTATCTATTTTCTTTTACCCCACCAGGACATCACACACGCAATAAACACCTGATGACACAAAGTGCCACCAAGTGGATGAGGATCACCCGTAGAGAAGTCCCAGAAACCGCCTTCAACCATTAGACCGAATTTTTGGCCGGACTATATTGCGGCCCCTGTCAAGAGCCAGAGTAGGGCTGCAAATAATAAAAAATTGCGTCCCAGAAAGGGTGCTCCACCTAGGAAATGTTGGAGAACACTGCTATAACACAACAACCCTGGCAAGAAACAATACCATTGTCATTGTGCATTCGTCCCAGTATATGTGCCATTTTGTGTATGTTTTCCCCAGGACATAGATTATACGGTTGAATTATAGCAATCCCCTTAGCTTTACTTTGAAATCTGAAATCTAAACAACTTTACATTTGAAAACTGTAATTTGACACCAGGTCTTTAAGCAGACTAGGCATTGACAATAAAGGGAAGGAATTTCGGGAGCTTAGCGTGTGTTGTGTGGGCTAGCCAGCAATCGGTATACATGTTTTGTGTATCACATAAGCTAACCCTAGTAGAAACTATTGTTATTTTTGCCTATTTGTCAGGCACAGGTTCCTTTTCTCAGCGTTGTAACTAATGGAAGTTTTTTTTTTTTTTTTTAAATAGGCCAGTAATCACTCGATTGGGATGGTTAGAGGAGGGGGTGTTGTCACAATAACGCCGGCCGCCTTTGTGTCCACCGACATTTCATTATGCCCGTTTTAGGCTAGATAGAACCGAGAACCTTTGTCAAGATTTTTAAACAATCCTTTGTTACTTTTTTTTTTAAATTCACCCTAAACAAAGGAAGCTCCGCAGTTCCAGGGAAAGAGCAGTGTTCTAGGGGATAAGGTTAGGATCTTTGTCAGCACCGATCGCCTCGGAGACACCAACGAACCCTAAATCTAACCCTAATCCAAACCCATAACACCCCTAGAATATTTTACTTTTCCAGAAACTCCAAGATTTCCTTTGTTTAAGGAGAATTAAAAATAAATTACTAATCCGTTTAATTCGGATTCGAACCCAAAATCTTCGGGCACCTCCTAGCTGTCATGGTATTCAGTTATTCGGTTCATCACAGTTCCAACTTCACCACAGACCGATCATTCCCTAGTGGCTGCGTTTCTGTTCCAGCGAAAACAGTAGAATGAATACCCACCGCTGTCCCCTGATTTAGAAAAAGCAAATGAAATTAAAGATTTGATTTACTTCTCAATATAAACCGCCATAATAATTTGGAGATAACTGCGTCCTTGTATGTGTGTGTGTGTGTGTGTGTGTGTGGGGGGGGGGGGGGGGTGGGGGGGTCGTGTTTCTGGCGGGAAGAGCTAGGGATCAACCAGCACTATAGTAGTGTACACATGCTTTCAAGGACACACATAGTCGTTAAGTTCACGAGGCAGGAAAGTTAACAGTTAAGAATAATTTTTTTTCCCACACAGAAATGCAGGTCGCACCTGGCTGATGTGGCCGTTAGATGTGCCCTAATTATAATTTCTTTGGAGGTTGAACAGGGTTTCTGGGCTTGCCCTGTAAGTCTGCCCTCAGTATTGAGATTCCTTAGGCTCACGGTGTTAGACTTTCAAGTCATGTTGGTCTGTCATCAGATCTGAGATACCTTAGGCTCACGGTGTCAGACTTTCAAGTCATGTTGGTCTGCCATCAGTTCTGAGATTCCCTAGGATCACGGTGTCAGACTTTCAAGTCCTCTTGGTCTGCCCTCAGTATTGAGATTCCTTAAGCTCACGGTGTCAGACTTTCACTCTTGGTGTACCATCAGTTCTGAGATTCCCTAGGCTCACGGTGTCAGACTTTCAAGTCCTATTGGTCTGCCATCAGTTCTGAAATTCCTTAGGCTCACGGTGTCAGACTTTTAAGTACTGTTTGTCTGCCATCAGTTCTGAGATTCCTTAGGCTCGCGGTGTCAGACGTTCAAGTCATGTTGGTCTGCGAACCAGATTGATATTTTCTGATCTCAGTGTGTCACTTTTCAGTAAGCAACACGGAGGGCTCCTGTAAACTGGTAGGAGACACAGTTGCTTTTTAGTGTACCTCGATTTTGCAAATGATCTGCTGCAAGATATTGGGGTGTGTCCCGCTCTCTGTACTTTTTTCTCTGTTTCTGTGAGTGTGAACACAAAGTCGTAAATTTATTTGATATATTTTGTACTTTGAAAAAATGTTAACATTAATTTTGTTTTCTTACAGTGCGGCTCATCATGGGCTGTGTAACAGCGTGGCAGGTCCTGCTGATTGTTCAAGTACTTGCCTTCTGTACCGCCAACAGTAAGTATCCATTCTGGCTTCTGGTTAGCTTAATATTTTCTTGCATGCCTTTATCGAATACTGTCATGCACATTAATGACGATATAAAAAAAGACAGTCACATACATACGTATACATGTATTAACACAAGATGTTAGTAAGAACACATACTCACGCATGCATGCAAACAGGCCCACACGCACTCATGCACTCTTAAATGCATACATATTTATGCATACATACGGTCAATTATCCACCACATGGTATATATCCATTCTTCATTTTAAGCAGGGATTAGATGGTTTAGGCTAGGGTCACTGGTTATTTTTTTTCGGGGGGGGGGGTGGGAAAAAGGGGGGGGGGGGGGGGGGGGTTGACTCAGAAATTACGTCAACTCAGCATTCTTCTTTCTTGTCATCCATGTGGTATACCGTCAGTCGCCAACCAGAATATTGTTGAAGAAAATAGCTATCAATTTTAGCGTTTTGGCATCTCTATAGAGTTTTTACAGGTAGACAACAACAACAACAAAAAAAAAGGGGGGGGGGGGGTGTTCCTTTTTTCTTGTCTATATATGATTAACAAGCTTGCAGCAGGTATTTAGTTTCAGAGTTCCACATTTGTATTCGTCGGTATTTCTTATCCTTATTTCAATAATGTGGCTGTATTTCTTTTCTGTTATGTACTATGCGAATTCTGAAGATTCGGACAAGTTGGTAATTTGCACCATCTTTCTAATGTGTTTGGAGGGGGGGGGGGGGGGGTGTTATTCTGCTGGTGTATTCAACTCTTTTATGGGGTAGGTAAAACGAGGGGGGGGGGGGGGAGGAGAGACTCTTTGAGCCTGAGTATCTAGGGCCCATAGCTATTGATATTGCTCTTACAGTAGAATCACAAATGAGCTTACTGTAAGAACTGAAATGCTGCCCTCGCTTACCAAAAGAACATAACTGTTGCTCTTACTAAAAGATCAGAAATGTTGTTGTTGTTGTTAGAAGAATAGAAAATTTTCTCTTATTAGAAATACGAAAATGTACTTACTACTCTTATCAGAAGCAAACGAAACGTTCTTAACAGAAGAAGAGAAGAGTTGATCTTACTTGAAAAACACAAGACATTTTGTTTATTACCAGAAGAAGCGAAACGTTTTTTTTCACAGAACATACATGTTGCTCTTCCTAGAAGATAGACAGGTTCCTTATCAGAAGAGAAGAAACACTTCTCTAACCAGAAGAACAGAACAATGCTCTTATCAGAAAAATAGATAGTTGTTCCTATTTGGGACATCTTTTCTGCTAACACCAGCTGGGAGTTGTCGTAGGGTTAAATCTTATTTTTATTATTATCATCATCATTATCATCATTAATATCTTCTTCTTGTTGTTTTCTTTTCCTTCTTCTTCTCTTCTTCTTCTTCTTCTTCTTCTTCTTCTTCTTCTTCTTCTTCTTCTTCTTCTTCTTCTTCTTCTTCTTCTTCTTCTTCTTCTTCTTCTTCTTCTTCTTATGATTATTATTATTATTATTATTATTCTACTTTCTCCTGGAGTTGTCATGGGGTTAAATCTTATTAGTGTCATCATCATTTTCTTCTTCTTCTTCTTCTTCTTCTTCTTCTTCTTCTTCTTCTTCTTCTTCTTCTTCTTCTTCTTTTTATCCTCCTCCCCTCTTCTCTACTGCTTCGCTTCTTCTTCTTCTTTTTCTTCTTCCGCTGCCGCTGCTGCAATCACTACTACTACTACTACTACTACTACTACTACTACTACTGCTGCTGCTACTACTACTACTACTACTACTACTGCTGCTGCTGCTGCTGCTGCTACTACTACTACTGCTGCTGCTGCTGCTGCTGCTGCTGCTACTACTACTTCTTCTTCTTCTTTTCCTTGCGGTTGACCTTTTGTGATCTGGTTTACAGCTGAGCTGAGATATCTGCACTTATCAACGCAACTCATCCAGTTTCAGCAAACCGTTAAATAGTTGCCTTTTACCACCTGCTTGTTAAGGGGTAGTGAGTGAGTTCCCCCAAACCCCCCCCCCCCCTCTCAACCGACATTGAGACCCAGAAACCTTGGTATTGTGCAGGTCGTCGTGGGTGGTTTGGCAGACTGCCTCATTCTGTTTTCAAGGGCAGTTGCCTGGCGCGCTAAGTTGGTTAAACCAGCTGCACGGCGACCGGGTGTCACAACTCCTTGTGGTCCTAGTAGGTTGTAGCCTCTTGTGTTGTCAGTGACCTTGCGGAGACAGAGTATTTCACATGTAGTTATTTTCTGTTCTAGTGCCCTATTCATTGTCCTTGTTTGGCACTGATAACATGAAGTAGGTTAATTAAAGATGATATAAATCATTTGCTGTTTTGCTGGAAGGGAGACATTTGGATGTCTTAGCTGTTCGAAATATTCGAAACAACATACTGTACTTTTTTAACAAATACAACAACTGGGACATCTAATGAGAGGGAAGCGCAGTCAGATTTTACTTGACTACAGATGGGTCAGCAAAAAGCGCAGTCAGATTTCACTTGACTACAGATGGGTCAGCAGAAAGCGCAGTCAGATTTCACTTGACTACAGATGGGTCAGCAAAAAGCGCAGTCAGATTTCACTTGACTACAATCAGCTACGGAGATTACAGAAGACCAAGAATACATGGATCGATGATATCAAGGGCTTGTGTAGTCAACACAAGTCTCCACATAGTGCCGGCGACACATCTGGCTTCGGGTGAAACTTCCAACTTATCCTAAAGCAGGGCTGATCAACTGACGGCCGCGGGGGGATGGGGCCTCCGGTCCGTGGCGATCCCTGTTTTTAAAATGTGGGCCCCTGAGTAAACATAGTTAAATAAGCATGCCCTCTAAAGCTTGCTGGGGAGAGTAAAGCACAGGCTGTAATCGCTGTGAGCATAGATTGACAGGTGGGTTGGTAGACATAAAGGTAAACAACAGGCAGGCGATATGGTAGAGAGAAAGAAGAGAACCAGAGTGTGTGTATTAAGGAAACAAGCAAACCTTACGTTTTGAAAATGTATGGTATTTAAACCTAAATCTACAGACAGGCAGCTACTAGTATTGTAACAATCGACCGCTCGCACTTCAGAAAATGTGAGCGGAAAAGGGGGGGGGGGGGGGGGGGGGGACTAACTAATCCGTTCCCTAAGAAAGGGAGGGGAGAAAGCACTGAAGCTTATCTTAAATTTGTGCCCTTTGTTTAAATGCATAAAAGATTTCAACCTAGATCTCCTAATTGATTACTGATATCCTAACTATCGGCCGTTCACTTGTAGTTAATGTTAGTACATTGTTTTTTTTTTTCTTCAGAAAAAAAAGGGGGGGGGGGGTGGGGGCTGAGAGAGAGAGAGAGAGAGAGAGAGAGAGAGAGAGAGAGAGAGAGAGAGAGAGAGAGAGAGAGAGAGAGAGAGAGAGAGAGAGAGAGAGAGAGAGCCACACAATTTGCCCTTCAATTCAACAACCACGTAACAGTTTGGCATTTCTAAAATAACAACACACTAAGTGGTTCTCTTTACATCGACAGTGGGTAGATCCGCTTCGCAAAATACGTCATTTATTCTTTATTGTCTGAAAGGACGTTGACATTGCATGCATATGTAAAACAGTGAAACATACTGCCAGTGTAAGTTACATCATGTTGCGGTCCACGCAAAGACAGCATTGTAGAGTGCTCAGCGACATTACTATTATTATTAGGGGAATTATTATTATTATTATTATTATTATTATCATTGTTGTTGTTGTTGTTGTTTTTGTTGTTGTTGTTAGTGCTCACCGCTGCAAACTCTGGTGGACAGTTTAAGTTCGTACACCCGAGAACCCTTGTCCTACACGGAGTATATGATGTCAGACTTATTTGTAGGCCTAGTTTACGTGTTGCTCTTTATTTCATCTTTTTCTTCTTCGCTTTCACAAACTCTCGCAGAAAGTTCTGGTTGTTTATCCATTTCTGGACTGCAGTCCTGTTCCAGAACCTGAGTGTTGAGTGTGCATCCGTTTTACAGTCTGACTTATTTGTATGCAGACTGCTGGTTCCTTGCCTCTCAGGCAGATGCACTCCGACTTTGAAGGAAGCTCCCAATTAGTCGACTCTTACGACATGCCTTCGGGTAGGCAGTGGGTCTGTTCTTGTTTTCCCTATAATGGGGCCACGGAACCCACACGGGGATATATTTCATATAATCAGTAATCCTGTGAAGTCTCTCTAACTTCAGTAAAAACACTTCCTAAATATTCGCCTCGATGTAGCGTCTGGTTGCTCGCCTGTGGATCCAAAGGTCGTGAGTTCGGGTCCTTATGTAGTCGGACTCTTTACCTAACGTGACATTGGCTCCCAGGTCGACCCAGCCTTGAGTGGGTACTGGGTGAAGTCCTAAGAGGTAAAGGCGGGCGGCGTGATGTTGACCACATCACCCACCCTAGTGCCGTTTGGTCTATAAAATAATGTCAGTCTTTATGTCTAATCTATCAGTAACTAGTCAAATCTTTAGCCGGATAATTCTTAAAAGAATGACTCAAGCACTTGATAGTATAATAAAGCAAGAGCAAGCAGGATTTAGAAAGGGGAAATCATGTGTTTTACATCTTCACGCTGCGTCAAATAAATGGACAAAGTAACGAATGGAATAGTGCAGTTTATATGACCTTTGTGAATTAAAAAAAAAAAAAAACCTTTGATAGTCTGCATAGGGAATCACTATGGCAGATTTTGAGTCACTATGGTGTACCACAGAAAATAGTACATTTGATCAAAGCCATTTACTTAGAGTTTTAATGCAAGGTAGTATGGGATAATCATACAACAGAAAGTTTCTTTGTCAACACAGGAGTCAGACAGGGATGCATACTATCCCACTTTTTGTTCAATGTGGCCATTGACTGGTTGGTGAAGGAAATTACACGAGATAGAAAAGAGGCTGATGAACAGAGGTGGTCACACCTGTTTTAGAGGATTTGGATTATGCAGATGACATCTACCTTATAACAAGCCGTCATGTGGACGCCCAGGAAAAGATTGAAAGACTTTCAACAACAGCCCTTGAGATAGGACTCAAAATAAACAACAGTAAAACTAAAGTAAGGAGAAATAATTGCAAAACAGAAAATCCAGTTATCTTAAATGGTGAAGCAATAGAGGAAGTTGAAGAATTTGTATACCTCGGAGGTAAAGTTACTCCAGATGGAGATTCTGAAAAGGATGTAACATCAAGAAAAAACAAAGCAAATTAAGCATTTGCCATGCTTAACAATATATGGTAGTCAAAGGGATTTAGTTTGAGGACAAAACTCAGAATATACAAGAGCAACATTTTAGGAATACTATTATGCAATAGTGAGTGTTGAAAAATGACAGCGGGAATTACACATAAACTTGAGTCTTTTCAAAATAAATGTTTAAGGAGAATTCTACGAATATTTTTGGCCAAAGAAAATCACAAATGAAGAACTGAGGAGGAAAACAGAATGTACATCACTAGCGAATATTACCAATGTAAGACGATGGAGATGGCTTGGACATGTTTGCAGAATGCCTTGTGACACTGGCAAAAACAGCTCTCCGGTGGACAACAGATAGGAAAAGGAGACGTGAACGACCTAAGGAAACCTGGAGAAGGACAATAGAACGGGAAATGAGGGAATGTAAACTACAGACATGGGATACCATAGGCAGAAAAGCAGCAGACGGGCAGCAATGGAGATCACTTGTGAATGCCTTATGTGTCAACCGCCACATAAAGAGGATATAGAAAATGTCCAATACGCCCAAAGGTGTGGGGAAATCCCATTAATTTTTTTTTCTCAGTAAGAATTTGTCTCCGAAGCCTGTGTGATTTTTGTGCTGGTAATGTTAATGTTTATGTAGATTAAACCGCTAACGGTCTTTCGTACTTGTCTTGCATTTGAATTTCATTTATATATTTTTAGTATAACATTTCTATTTTTGAAATTTTTAAAAATTCTCAGATGTTAATCTTCAGAGAAGGATTCGTTTAGAGTTAGTTTGTCCATGTTTTACGGTATATCTTCTTCTTCTTCTTCTTCTTCTTCTTCTTCTTCTTCTTCTTCTTCTTCTTCTTCTTCTTCTTCTTCTTCTTCTTCTTCTTCTTCTTCTTCTTCTTCTTCTTCTTCGCGTTCACCATCTGTAAACTCTGGCGGAAAGTTCTGGTTGTTCGTCCACTTGTGGACTGCAGTCCTGTTCCAGAACCTGAGCATTGCGTGTGCATCCGTTTCACAGATCTTACTAATTTATATGCAGACTGCTGGTTCCTTACCTCTCAGGAAGAACGGCAGATCTGTTCAAAGTGTTTATTAAGGAGCCACTATTTTAAAACTGGAGATTGTCACTAGCTGTAGGCCCCCAGCCCTTTGCACACAGAGTACATTAGTACATTATAACTGGCAGTGATCCGCGGACCACTGGATAGGCTTCCAATCACTAGATTTGGCCCGTGTTCCGCCAGAATATCCCTGCTTCATTCCTTTCCTCCCATTATTTCTTTGTTAGCCTAATCCACTGCTGGCTTGCTAGACCAGTCGCAGTTTTACGAAATTATTTTTTTTTTTAGTATCCAGAAACCATGAGTTGTTAAACCTTCGGCTCTGTACTATGGATATCCCAACCCTTCGGCCATGATTCCACGATAGATGCCGTCAATCTGGGAGGAATGTGTTTTTTGTTTTTGTTTTGCCTACCCCCGTGCGTGAACCCGGACCACAAGGATTTCGTCACCCGGTCGCCACGCAGTCAGGTTTAGCCAACTGTGCTAGCGAGCCGTGCTAGAAATTAATGAAACCACCTGGGTCCTATCTCACCTGGTGAACCAGTACCATGTTCCCCAAGACCTAACAGCCTTAATTTCCTAAATTTAAATGCGGCTCATAGGGCGAAGTTGACTTGCACGATCTGCCGGTCATTGACAGGTTATTGATTTTCACTTCTCACTTCCCGGAGGAACAACATACCAAGAATGATTTTTCACAGAAAGAGCGATCAGCCGTATTTCCAGTTTCTGTAGTAAAGTATCTATGTTCAGTTGTTCGTGTGTTGGTTCGATCCCAGCTGCGGGCCCTGCACCTTGCGTTGGTTTCGACAGTGGTATCAAGAAAGCCGACCGTCCAGATGGCAAAGGCAAACTACTGGACGTAAATTAGCCTAGAAAAACCAGAGGGGCCCTCTGTTTATTCGTAGAAATAAACTTTAAAAGCTGATATATGCTTTATGTTTTTCTGACTCCTTTTGTCTCTTCTATTCCATGTATTCTGTTCTTTTAAACCTGTCTGTTATATCCCTCATCGTCCGTCGAGTTCTCATTGATTTCTTCTTCTTCTTCTTCTTCTTCTTCTTCTTCTTCTTCTTCTTCTTCTTCTTCTTCTTCTTCTTCTTCTTCTTCTTCTTCTTCTTCTTCTTCTTCTTCAAGTCTATACTGTGTGGCGTTGGTAGTCATGCCTGTCCACAGCCTTGTGTCTCGTATACTTTGAATCAACTGATGATTCAGATAACATTTTATATTGATGTGGGCAATCACTTCTCTTCGTGAGTCAGTTTCTTTCAGGACATCCTCATTACATTTTTTATCTGTCCAGGGTATTCTCATCTTTCGTCTGTAAAATCCTATCTCAGTAGTCTCCAAATAATTGTTCTGTAATCGAACGACAGTCTGTGATTTACTTTACTATATCAGGATATAATTTATACAGTTTTTTTTTTTTTATTTATAACAATAACAATCATATCCTGAAGCGCCACTTGTGAGAAAAACGTCCTGTCTCTACATCAATGTACAGTAACAGTAAGACTGATCTTATCACATCTTTGATTTCACGTCACCCTCAGTCATGTAATCTTTTAGCACCAGAATACTTGTTGCTGAACTAAAACCATAAATTTACAAGCCATCTGACTTCTATCAGATTTACAACTCCCCAGTTCATAAAATGCTTGTTAGTTCTCAAAGACCTTTAGCTGAACTCGCTATTCATACAGTGCATGCATGTCCCGCTGGTATAAAGAAGCTTTCTCCCGCAGGGCCTTCGAAAATTCTATGCCGACCCTGAAATATTATCTGCCAGGGGTATCCTGCACAAAGAGTTGAATCAAGAGCCCCCGACACTAGTTATTATGACGGGGATGGGTTCTCACTGAGGCGGAAAGTCGAAAGCCAGTCCGCACACATACACAAAGCCTGCCTGAATAGCTAAAGGAAAGAGTGGCCAGATAATGTGTTAGCCATTTCTGTTCAGGAACACAAGTATCTCGCTTCTCCCTTTCACAGCCCAGCATTGGGAATGAAGTGTTTCTCTAAATGAAAAAAAAAAAAAATTAAGGCTCTTTCTTCGCCAGTGGACAGAAAATTAAAAGTAAATAATGATGCTCGCTTGTAACAATAAGGATGAAGAGGCGACTTCGGTAGGATCAGGGGTGTTCAAGACTTGGATGAACATGTGCTGGAATGTTCAGAATTATATGAAAAAAATAATACATTTTAAACTTTCGAACCACATTCTTTGTAAACGCCGACAAATCAAACAAATGGACGGTAATAGGAAAAGGACACGAGTTGGCCTGAAATAGATTAATAGACCTGTAGAAAGAAATTAGGTATGAACAACCCACTCCGCTGAAGAGACGAGACGTAGCTGTATGACATTAAACCTGGTGCAGTGACATCGATCCTGTCTAATTTAAACTCCTTTAAATTGAAACATGTAGTTGCCAGCTGTCGTGTCCTAGTGTCCGGTATTCTTAGCATTTCTGTCAATCCGATAATACATAAGGTATTTGACTGCTGCTGTTGCACGGATTGGAAAAAAAATTATAGCAGAAGGCATGGTACCAGGAAGGAGGGGCAGAGGCCGACCGACACAAAGATGGGCACAGGATATAAGTGACTCCTTGAGTTTGAAAGTTCATGAGGCGGGGGAACTGGCAAGAGACCGAGTTTCTTACAGGCAGACTGTGATGAGAGCGACGTTCTGCAAAGGACCTGCTACATGATGATGATGACGTTGCAGCAGCTGCTGCTGCTAACAACGCTGCTAATTTTACTGCTACTGTAGCAATAACTACCTCTTTTTCTCTTCTTGATGCCACGTTTTTTTCTTTCCGAATCTTCTCCGTTCCTTTCCCGTTGCTTTTTATTCTTCTACTTTTAATTAATTTAACAAAAAGGCCTAAGTTATGCCAGACCATTTAAGAAATATTTACAACACCACAACTTGCACAATGCAAATTCCCACTGAAATTATGAGGTCATGGTTGTTGCAAGGAACAACACACGGGGAACACTTTATAAAGACTGGTGAAACCCAGCGTTTGAAATTGAAACTGTTCTACATAGGATATGATCAGTGAAACAGACTGCATTGACAGTTCTTTTTATTTTTCTCCTTTTCCTTCTTTTTTTTTCTTCTTCTTCTTCTTCTTCTTCTTCTTCTTCTTCTTCTTCTTCTTCTTCTTCTTCTTCTTCTTCTTCTTCTTCTTCTTCTTCTTCTTCTTCTTCTTCTTCTTCTTCTTCTTCTTCTTCTTCTTCTTCTTCTTCTTCTTCTTCTTTTTCTAGAAGGGTTTCTTACATCTTGGTCGGTTGTCTTATTTTCGTTTTTGTGTCTGCAGACTTGTTTATGCTGTGCTTAATATTGTAGTTTGTTAGGATGAGGTAGTGTGTGTGTGTTGTGTGTGTCTTTCTTTCTCCTTTTTTTTTTCTTCTTTTTTTTTTCCTTCTTTTCTTTTTTTCCCTTTCTTTTTTTTTTTTTTTTCCTTCTTTTTTCTCCTTTTTTTCTTTTCCCTTTTTCCCCCTTTCTTTTTGTGTGCATATACGAGCACCTGTATGTGTATATGTCTGCTGTCCTGTCTTCTTTCGTCTGCCGTCTACCACGCTGTCATATTCGAAACAGACAGAACAACACAAACATACCGTTTAAAAACATTTAGGGACATGCAGTCTGCGCAACTGTTGATCTCATCCTTTGTTGCAGGTCCACCATCTCTATCTGGCAAAGTAGTGTCCAGGGTGATTGCCAAACTTGGCAAGAATACAAAGTTGCAGTGCCCTGCTCAGTCAGACCCTGAGCTGACACAGTGGAAGAAAGATGGTCAATCAATCAATCCTGGCTGGGAACGATTCAAGGTGAGCCCTGTGAACGTATACACAACTTATCTTGCTTTCTTTTGTGTATATTCAAGCAGTCACTTATATCATGATCCCATCTTCGTGGGTTGGTCGACCGCTTCTTATTGGTACCATGCCTTCTGCTATTATTTTTCCCCCAATCTGTGGTGTGGTCAACGAAGCTTTGGGTACCGAACATCTACCGGAATAAGTGGACAACTCTAGGGTACACTCTGCTGTTAGCAGGAACATCACAAAGCAGAACACTCACTTGTTCTGGCAATCTAAAAGGTTGCTTAAGGCCGAGGACAGCCAAAAGCCATGTGGATGTGGAAATCAAGGGGAAACTACTAGATTATTATCCCAAGAAACTCACTATGGAAGGTATAGCAGTGTATATCGAAAATGCTTAAGGTGGTGGAAAAGGGTCTCTTACTTTTTCCCTCAAGAATTGGACATCACAGCACACGGGGCATACCCATGTGTGCTTCGTCCTCATGTTTAGCAGCCAGCGCAGAGTTCCAATACTGATGATACCGGTCACAATTGGTTATATGTCCGTCTTGTCTTTGGTGAGCCGGCCAGACCCTCTGGTACACCCATGTGCCTCATTTTTCACTTTAGTAGGTGGAATCGACGTTTGCTCTGCCATGGAATGAATGAATGAATGAATCAAGAATTGACATCAGTGCGTTCGGGGATATTCGCACACCAGTTCGTTCTCCTTCCCCAGTAACAAATGAAGAGTCCGCATGCTAATAGTAGCGAGGAATCAACTGTATGACCACAAGTGAGCCAGGTCCGTGCTCGCAAAACTCAGATCCGGAAACAAGACCACATTCGAGACGTGGACGAAGCAGGACTTTTAATTAGAAAAAGTAGTAGTAGTAGTAGGTAGTAGTAGTAGTAGTAGCAGTAGTAGTAGTAGTAGTAGTAGTAGTAGTAGTAGTAGTAGAAACATAAGAAGTAGAAGACATACAGCACCTAAAGCATACTTTAAAAAAAAAGTAGTAGTAGCAGCAGCAGTAGTAGTAGGAGCAGTAGTAGTAGGAGCAGCAGCAGTAGTAGGAGGAGGAGGAGCAGCAGCAGCAAAAGAAGAAGAAGAAGAAGAAGAAGTAGAAGAAGAAGAAGAAGAAGAAGACATATGCACCAAAAGCATAAGTTATCCCCCTTTCAGAAATGAGGTCCCAGAAACCGCATTCAGCCATTAGGCCATATTGCGGCCCCCGGCGAGAGCCAGGATGGGGCTTCAAATAACGAAAAATTTAACCCTAAAAAGGACGGTGAATGAATTTTCAGAAATGACACTGGCTCTCAGGTCATCCCCGTTTAAAATAGCTACTAGACATAGTCCTGGGCAATAAATTCGGCCTACATGATTGGTCAGTAAGACTGTGATTCTAGCCTCGTATTCTCCGTGAAAAGGGCCCCTTTACTCACTTTTGTTACCCTACATTCTACACGAAAAAAACACACTCTAATGTACTGGTGGCAGTCAAACCTCAGCAAAAAAACGCAAAGAACGCTCTTTCATTTGTTCACCCATACGTGTAGTAGAATATTGATCGACTCCTGACATAAATACTGAATGTCCTCCATTCGCAGATGTCACGCGAGGGACATCTGCGTATTCAGGAAACAGAGATGTCGGATGCTGGCTTGTACACATGCATTGCTACAAACGGATTCGGCAGTATCAGTATCAACTATACAGTTGTTGTCTTAGGTATGAATTCTGTTGTTGTGTTTGTTACAAGTGTGTACTGTACACACGATTTGTTTCTGTCTTAATTTTGTTCGTTCTTTCTGTCTTCTTCTTCTTCTTCTTCTTCTTCTTCTTCTTCTTCTTCTTCTTCTTCTTCTTCTTCTTCTTGTCCTCCTCCTCTTCCTCCTCCTCAGATGTTTGTTACTACTTTCGGGGGGAAGTAAACTGAATAATTCCAGGTGAGCTCTAAACTTCTCTTATACCAGCGACAAATCTGACTTCCTTGTACATTTGTTGACTGTGTTAATTGTTCTACAACAACATATTATACCACAAAAACTGGTCCTAATCGCTATCAGAAACTTGGCACCAAGTTGTCCACAATACCAACACTGGCAGTAGAGCCGCCCTAGTGTAGTGACTAGACGTAGGAAGCCGAAGGTCGTGGGTTCAGGTTCTCACATGTCCAGTTTAAAAAAAAAATGGCCTTGGTTGACCCAAGGGGTACCAGGTATTTCTGGGAAGTAAAGACGGTCGATATGATATCGACCACATCATCCACCGAATGCTGATTGGTCTATAAAATATGGGTCTAGACCTCTTGGTACCAGCACGCCTGAAGGCGTGAAAAAGAGTCCTTTGCTTACTTATGACTGGCAAATTCACCACCATATTGAATGGGAAAACAGTAGCTTTGAATCTTGGTTACAACACTATGGTAAGAATAATGCGTTTTAGGCGAGCATGTAGAATTCTAGATGACGCAACTCCTCCAGTAATCAACTAGTTGTGCAGCACGATCAGTTTGCACGTAATAGCGTTTTAGACAAAACTAAGCAGTAGCAAGTAACTATTTCGCTGGAAAGGATATCACATGATATTTTCCTTCTTGTTGCTTCATTGTTGAGAACATGCGTGCGCAGCTAGCATAGTATTATAGTATAGTATAAATAACTGGCAGCTTTCACACTTTACAGTTTCTGCAGGAGTAACGTATGCATGCAGCCAGTGCTCTGTTCATTGTGATAATACTGTTAACAAGCTTTACAAGCTAGACGAGACGTTACCTGAGGGGCGTATTTGTAATGAATAGTAAACATTAATAAATCATAGTTTAGCTAGGCATATTTCTTGTGCAGTAGGAAGTGTGAGTGACGACTGCAGCCGTTACATGCATGCCTCCCATTAGGATCAGCCCGTATATGATTACCATAAGGGACATTTTAAAACTCAATCAAATTCACGCACCGGGTATTATCATATATAGTTCGACCTTTCTCCGCAGAGCGGCTGGTCACCCGCTGGGAGAGTCACACAATTCAAGACCCTCATGGATCTCTAAAACACCCGCACTCGTGAACCGAAGGACTAGGTCCGAAAGTTAACCCATGAACTTAAGAGCGCGAAGTAAACTGTTTAACAACTTTGCTGCGAAATGAATGAATCAAGAAGTGACATAACTGCACTTGGGACATTTCCACACGTGCTTCGTCTTCTTCTTCAATAATAAAGAGTACACATACTAAGAGTGCCAGTTTGCAACCTGATTATGAGTCTGTCCGTGTTTTACCCTGAATGTTAAATATCTTACAGAACCTCTACCCCCCCCCCCCCCCCTACAACCCTCCACCACTGCCCTCGTCCCTCTTTCAGTTAGTCTTTCAGTGTATGCGTTCTCTGTTCTATTGCACTCTCCAAGTCGTCACCACGTTTGCCCTTTATTGTAAAGTAATTCACCGCCCAGAGGAGCGGCAGCAACCACTCTATCAGTCTGCTTATTATCCTACACACTCTAATGTCCTGGACAGAAAATTCACTATAGGCTCCTGATCGGGGTCTTATCAAATAATGCAAGCCAGTCTAAGTGTGGCTCGGTAGTTTCGATTTTCCGAAGCATGCTCTGTGAGTCCGTTACAATTACATGTCAGGCTGTGCTGCACTCACGGAGATCCCCTATGTAATTATTACAAGTTGTAACTTTTTATAGACGAGCCATGTGATGCTCTTATTGCAAGTAGTCTTGTCGTTTCGTTTTAAAAATTTTTTTTTAAGCTCCATGTTTTTTAAATGGCAGTACCCGTGCCTTTTCTTTAAGTTGAGGCAGCAGATGTAGAGAAAATCCGAAAATGTCGTGTTTATGGGAAATTATAGTAAACAGCTTATTCATTCCAACACTGAAAAACCGCCTTAGACGTATAAATTGTCTAAGGCCTGTGTACAAAAAAAATAACTTACGAGAGGAGGTGCCTGAGAAAAGCCGCCAGTCTAAAAATCCGAGATGAGTGAATAATGAGACTTTGAAACAGATTGTGGGAACTACACCTTATATTATATTCAAAGAGAAACAGCAGATCAAGTGGTTTGGCCATCTCGTTAGAATGCAGCCACACCAGATACCATCACAAGCACTCAATCGCAGAACAAGATCAAGAGGATCACCGCGAAAACATGGATCGACAACATCAAAGAAATTTACGCCCCTATGACACGACAGTAGTCGGTGCCAGCCAGCGTTCACTGGATCGCAAATTGTTCCTCCCCTGACACGTAGTGGCAGAAGTGGTTTATGATGATGATGATGCCCATAGTTGTGCAGCGGCTGGATGCATATGTCGGTCCAAAGGTTTTGGGTTCGAATCGGCTTCGTGCCAATATTTTTTTAAAGCTGACCCAGCTTGAAATCGGTACAGGGAAATGTTATGCAAAGTAAAGGCAGCCAGCGAGAGGTTAATCTCATCACCTTTCGAGTGCCTGGGGGTCTATCAAAATATGGATTTTGCTTTATATGCCCGAGGAGCCAATGCAGTGAAAAGGGTCTTTCACTTAAGTACATGATGTCTGTGAGGTAGTTACCCAACAACTAGCACTTTATTATAAGTCTGCCTATGTTTACCCCTGAGTGTTAAATATCTTCTAGAACCTCTTCTCATCCCGCCCCTCCATTTTTGTCCTTTTACTGCTTGAAAAAAAAAAAAAGGAAAGATCCCTTTTCACGCCTTAGGCGCAACGGGCATATGGGAAGAGCGCCCATATTTTTACAGACCAATCGGCACTAGGTAGGTAATATGGTCAGCATTACGTCGGCCGTCTTTACTTCCCCAGGACAGCCATCCCGGTACCCATTTTAGGCTGGGTCGACCTGCGATGCCCAATACTGTGATAAAAATCAACTCAACCAGCAATGGGTTTTTATCGCGGTACGCTGGAATTACGAGCCGGACTCGCAACGCCTAAGCCACTGACGCCGCTTACTGCTTGTAGTTACATGGTTTTATAGTGGTGTGGGGCAGGAGGGCGACTTGGTGAAGGGGTCAAGCAGCTTACCTCGCGCTCTGAAGGCCGTAGGTTTGTTTTACCGATGCATTGTTCGGTTCACGAGTGCAATTTTTACTAATGCGCCCCCCCCCCCTTTTCCCCATGAGATCGTCCCCAGGACAGAATTTAAGAAAACTTTCACCTTAACTGGGATTCTTCTTCTTCTTCCTCTTCTTTGCGTTCGGTTTCGTATGCTCACATCAGACCACCAGGTGAGTTGCCTCTATGAACTCACTCGCATGTCAGCAGCAGGTCCTGAATGGTTCCCCATTGCTTACTCTGCACACTTTGCTCTTGAGGCTAGGTGTCTTTTCGGAGGTAGATAGAGTGGGTAGGTCTGCGGTATGTGCTCACAGGTGTTTGTGGTTTGTGGGAACTGAACAATCTTTTTTTTATGCATGTGGTAGTTGAGCCTGCAGTGTCCTGTTCGTAGACCGAAAATTATTATATGTTGCTTTTCTGCTGAATCTGCTGATGGGGTCTTGTGGATGTTTACTGTTAGTCTGTTCTCTTCACAATAACTGGGATTTCAACCCGGTTTCTCCGAGTCCAGCGCTCTAATCGCTTTGCCAGTCACTTCAGGATATATGTAAATGCGCTAATCACAGCTGCAAAGCATACATTTGTGCAGACATCGCAAATACACAGATCAAAGAATAATGCCTGCATTGATTGTGTCTTGCTTTGTTTGTAAACAGACGTCATGAATCTCATAAATAATTGACGGCCAGTTGCTTCCCCTGATTACCATATTCTAAGAGCTGTGTGAATATCACACACACACACACACACACACACACACACACACACAAAATGCAATAAACAAACGACTTATGAGCAAATAAATATGGCTAAAATATTTGCGGAAATTATCGATGACTAGAAAAACAAACTGTCAAACTAACGTTAAGAATTATCAAATAGTATGTGTACTCCAAGATGCTGCCTCAGAGAATCAGGCTCCTGAGTAAAACCAGAGGGTCTGGTCGGCTCACTACACTCAGAAGAAAGGCAAGCCGGACATATAACCAGATTTTGACCGGTACTATCAGTACTGGAACTCTGCTGCTGAAGATGAGGACAGAGCATGCATGGGAATACCCAGAGTATTCTTATGTCAATTCTTGACTCAACTCAACAGAGAAGCTATCGTGGTTAAGGTGCTAGACGCTCGCCTGTATGTCTATCTATCTGTCTGTATATATGTATGTCTGTATATCTATATATCTGTATATATAAATGTATGTCTGTTTATGTGTTTGTATATCTGTAGGTCTGTATATCTGTCTGACTGTTAATATGTTTGCGCGCGCGCGCGTGTGTATATATATATATATATATATATATATATATATATATATATATATATATATATATATATATATATATATATGTCTACCTGCATATCTGTTTGTATATCTCTCTGTCTGTATCTATATATACCTTTCTGTTTGTGTCGTTATATTGGTGTGTGCATGCGTGTATCCGCGCTTGTGCCTGCGTGCGCGTGAGCCCGCCCGCGAGATGTGAACTTCCTGAAAACCGCAAACATTTGGTTGACAGCATAGGTCTCCCTCTCCTGTATACATACATGAAGCAAATGCCACATCAGAATTTGAGGCCGTTAAAAATACCTGCTCGACAAATGTCAGGTCATAATCTTAGACTGTTGTGTAGACCTGAAATTCAGAGCTCATCATGAGGGAAAACTAAGGGATAACGTCTGAAATAAAAACAGGATAGCCACACGGATATGTATTTGACTCCTGTGTAACTCTTACAGATAAGAGATTAAATTATGAAGACACGAAATAACTACATTGAGGCGTCATAATGGCTGAGATTCCTGTCACTTAGCCATAACGGAAGCAGACCTAGAGGTCAGCCATGCAAACGATGGATCGATGGAATATCCGAGGTCGTAAATAATATCTTGGTAGTGTAAACTAATGCGGGCGCACGATACGTCTGCTAAACAGTATGCTGAAATGTAGAACGGGGACAAGAGGTGGAGGAGGAGGAAAAGAAGGCTTCATAATGTCCCTTAAATTTGGTTTGTTTACATAATATTACCACGGTGTCTTTAGCGTAGGCGTGCGAACGCATTTCGTAATTCCAAGATACACATTTCGATTCCAGCTATGGCTGCAGACCGCTTTTATGTTGATGTCGAAAGTGGTTTCGAGAGTCGATCGTTAAGAAAGCTGTGGCAAACTGATGAGCGTAAAATCGACTAGTAAAAACCACAAACAGTCAAATACAGTTGGGGTTGGTTCTGAATCCTGTAAGGGACATTTAACCAACCAACATTGTGTTATTACGTCTTAACTCTTTGAGTCCCAAGGAACGCATCATACGTTCATAGGTTCATACCTAGAGACCCAATAAACGCAAGATGCGCCGATTTTACATCCTTTTTGACTACCCCTTGGGCCTCTGATACTAAACCCCTTGGGACTCAAAAAGTTAATATATTTATTTTAGTGTCCGTATTAGTTTGTCTTTCCTTTGGGCCTAGGGCGGCGCATAGGGCAGAGGTCAGAGCTATCTATGTCTGGCAGTTAGTTGCCATCTGCTTTAGGTCTTAAAATATTTGTTAGGCCCTTGGTTGAGCTTTTCCTGATGATGGTTCTACGTAGAGTCTCTCTTGGTCTTCCAAGTATTCTTTTCCCTTCTGGTGTCCATATGAGGGCTTGATGGGGGAGTCTTGTTTTATCCATTCTGAGTGCATGACCGATGTACTTCAAGCGGCGCTTTCTTATAAAATGTGATACAATGTCTTGCTCGGTCTCTTGTCTTATTTGCGTATTGGATCCTATATCTGACTAGTGGAGATTTAGTATTCTTATAAGACATTTGTTCTCAAAATTTTCTAATGTTTTTATCTAGAGCTACCGTTGCTTTTCAACCTCCGCATCCATAAGTTAACGCTGGAACCACACAAAATGATCTTTAGTTTTCCGTGATTGCTTAGTATCTTTGGCTTCCAGATGTTTGACAAGTATAGTGCCAGTATAAGTGGAGAATATTCTATGTAACCTTTCTTTGTCAGTTGAAACGAGAAAAAAATTCTCAATCGCTATATAAATTCTATCTTTATATATAGAAGGGAATCATGGACAGTTGGAAGAAAAATTATTTAGGAACGTCGATGTGGTATTATAGACGAATGGTGAGAATACATAGGACAGATAAAAAGAGTAATGAAGATGTCTTGAAAGAAACTGACTCACGAAAAGAACTGATAGTCTACATCAGGAGAAACTACATTCTTTGGTCATGTCATGAGAACGAGAAAGCTGGAGTACATTGTGGCGTTTGGGAAATTTAGAGGGCAAGACCGAGAGAGGAGATGCTGGACAGTTTGACATCATGGCATGGGAAATCATCAGTGACAGAATTGATAGAAGGTACACGGGACAGAAGGTTGAAGACAGATATGACTGTACGTATTGGACCATAAGAAGTGCCAAACTAATGAACGCTTATTGCCAACGCCATCCTGTTTTGATTGCTAAAGTGTGTTCTTGTAAGCCAGACATCTGTGTAAAGTCAGTCTCCTGATATATGGAAGAGAATCACGAGCGGTCGGTAAATAAACAACAAATTATGTGGTCGTTTCATTTACGAGATTTTGTTAAGTACTATGAGAAATCCAGAAACCGATTTTTAAAATGTTATGAAGTCAGTAAATAAGTTAACTCACAAAGAAAAAAACGATTACCCGCATCACAAGAAGCCAGTTCACGTTTTTTGAGCACGTCAAAAAAAGGATAAAATTAGGGTACGCTGTGACAACAGGGAAGTTGGGCTGGGGAAGGATAGGTGGTGGAAGGCCAATAGAGAGTATGTTGGCTTGTTTGGCATCACGTCATCGAGGAACGTCTCTCAGAAATGGTTTGAAGAGCACGACACAAAAAGGTGTGGGGATACAGTTACCAATGGCACACAGCATGGATCAGAAGAAGAGGAAGCAGAAAAAAGAAGCAGCCACAGCAGAAGAAGAAGGGGAAGAAGAAGAGAACGAGAAGGAAAAGAAGAAGAAGAAGAAGAAGAGGGGGGAAAAGAGGAGAACGAGAAGGAAGAAGAGGAAGACAAAAAAGTAGAAGATAAGGACAATGAAGATGATGATGAAAATGATGATGATGATGAAGAAGAAGACGATGATGACAATGAAGAAGAAGAAGAAGAAGAAGCCAACTTTCACGAATAACTGTTTTTCTTGTTACTTTGCATCCTTTCCCAGCTTTATTTTCTACAGTCAGCATCATTTAATTTAGATATCAGATTTTCACCGTTGGTACTCCAAAGTTCTGTTTCCCTGTCTGCTCCTGCATGCCACACTAGTGGTTCAAAAAAAAAGGATGGACAGAAGCTTTCAACAAAACGAAGTTGAGAAGGACTGTGGGGCAAAGGAGAAAGAAAGACTGACTGAGTGGAAGGTGTGAATAATTAATCCCCAAAATAGCCCTGACTCTTCTGTCTTGATAAACAACCTTTGAAGTTTTTTTCCTTAGTTCTTTTCCCCCATGGAGTATAATTGAAATGCTTTGTGACGCCCCGGTCTGCTTCAGTAGGCATTCAATACATCATTATTTCTCTGCTTGGCGTGAAAACAGTTGGTACAAAAGGAACAAGAACAAGACAGGGATCTTTTCCTACTGTTGCATTCATTCTGTAATAACATGGTTGGGGGATATTGTAAGGATTCTAATATTGGGGATTCTTTATAGCAAAGTTCAGTTTGTTTGCTTGTAAAATGTTGTGCAGCCAGTACTGCTTGGATGTAAATGTTAGACTAGTCAGTGGCGTTGACAAGTTTAATTGTGTTATTATATAGAAATATTACTTACTTCTATTTCGAGCTTTGGTTTCGCCTGTCGTGTTTCTGCTTGTCTGGTTTTACTATTATTTTTGAAAATTACTTTAGCTTTTTTTTTGGGTGTGGTGATGGGGGGGGGGGGGGGGGGGGGGGGGGGTTGCAGAGGGGATGTCGTTTTGTTTTGTAAATTTAGGCACTCTTTTTCTTCTTCTTCTTCTTCTTCTTCTTCTTCTTCTTCTTCTTCTTCTTCTTTTTCTTCTTCTCTTTTCTTCTTCTTCTCCTCTTCTACTTATTCTTCTTCTTCTTCTTCTTCTTCTTCTTCTTCTTCTTCTTCTTCTTCTTCTTCTTCTTCTTCTTCTTCTTCTTCTTCTTCTTCTTCTTCTTCTTCCTCTTCTTCGTTTTCTTCTTCTTCTTCTTCGTTTTCCTCCTCCTCTTCCTCATCTTCTTCTTATTCTTCCTCCTCCTCCTCCTCTTCTTCTTCTTTTTTCCTCCTCCTTTTCCTTCTCTTCTTACTCTTCTTCTGCTTCCTCTTCTTCTTCTTTTCCTCCTCCTCTTCCTCCTCTTCTTCCCTTTCCTCTTCTTCTTCTTTTTTTTTACTTCTTCTTCTTCTTCTTCTTCTTCTACTTCTTCTCTTCCTCCTCCTTTTCCTAACAGGGTGATAGGAACATTGAATTATAGCTTACATCTAAGCTGTGACATCTGTGCCTTTGGGCCCAACATATCCAATTTTAGCCAATCCTGAGTGCATTTTACGACATGCTTTTCAAGAGGAGATGGGTCTCTGTATTTTTGCATGAAATATTGTATTGTCTTGCATATGTAATTTTAATATTTTCTGAATTGCTGTAATATACTGGTGTCTTGTTTATGTGAATCAATCTTTTGAATTTGTAATTTAAATTTTACAGATGAAGAAAATCAGTTGGTGCAGGAAGCAGATAAGCAGTTCAAACAAACTCCAAATGAAGATCTTTCTAAGGAAGGATGTAAGTGGCCTACAATAGTTTTCTATCTCTGCACATCATCGTAATCATCATTATTATCTCCACTACTATCTTCAACATCATCATTCATCAGCAATATTTCCCATGTGGTTGTGGCAGTGATGGTTGGTCTCCCCCTCCCCTTTTCCCCAGTCACAAGTTTTACATCAAGTGTGTATTCTCGTTCTGCTTATGCCTTGTTATCAAGCCATCCAAATGTCTCAGTGTCTTCCCTTCATTATCTTGCTATTAGTATGCCTATTATCACTGAGTTTTCACGTTGATTTCTCTTCATTATATGCATGCAGAATGTACGCATATACCTTTGTCACAACCAGTGTGATATTGACCATTTGACCTTATCAACCATAAAGGGCAGTCTGACCTATTAAATTATGACAGGGCATTATGGTCTGTATATTGATTATTGTTGTTGTGTTTGTCGTTGTTGACCTGTGCTTTGGTTAATATGAGTTTAGGTAACCTATGGTGCTGTTTCAGTGGTTTGAGATGAATTATGTTCCAAAGCTGTGGGTTTGAGCTGCATGACAGACATTTCTAATGAAGACACTTTTTTGGGGGTTGTCTAGTTAGTCATGTGTCCTAGTACTCTTGTCCTGCAGTGAGGTGCTGTCATCAGTTAAAGGTGACTGGTTCAGTTCTTAGCATGGTATAACTATAGCTTAAATTGCCTAATGTGTCCTTCTGTCTTTCAACTTCTTTCTTTGAGTGCTGGTTAGTACGTGTTCATTTGTTGGTTAAAGCATGGGACTATACCTATGTATCCAATTTATCTTGTGCTATGGAAATGGGCACTTTACTTTTTTTGTTTGAGTTTTGGAGGCACAGTAGTTTTTCTGTGATTCGGTTTCACTCACCAGCAGAGATTAGTTTTTTGTAGCTCTACAGCTCTTGGGTCAAACTACCCTCATAATCCTAGGTTAACCATTACATGAATACAGCTCCCTCCCCCTGTGTGGGTCCCAGGGCCCCATTGTGGGGAAAACAAGAACAGACCCACTGCCTCCCCAAAAGCATGTCGTAAGAGTCGACTAATTGGGGGAGCTTCCTTTGAAGTCAGAGTGCATCTGCCGGAGAGGCAAGGAACCAACAGTCTGTATTCAAGAAAATGAGATCTGCAAAACTGATGCACATGCAACACTCAGGTTCTGGAGCAGGACTGCAGTTCAGTAGTGGACGAGCAACCAGAACCTTCCGCCGGAGTTTACAGCTGGTGAACGCGAAGAAGAAGAAGAATACGGCTCCCAAATCTACCATTGTTTGTTGTTTCTATACAGAATCTCATCATACTTTTTATAAATTGTTTCTATAAGTAAACAGATAATATGTTCTTTGTTTTCTACAGCTCCTCCGTACTTTGAAGACATTGAAAAGATGAGAGAATCCATGAATTTAGTCAAACCCACTGGGTCCACTATTCGTCTTGGCTGTCGGGCAGATGGGAACCCAGTTCCAGAGATCTACTGGCTAAAAAATGGGCATCCCCATGCTCAAAGTCGTTCACATTCTACCTTGAAAATTCAAGACATAACAGAAGAAGACAGTGGTGCTTATATGTGTGTCGCTAGCAATCGACTCGGAATGGTCAACTTCACATACAATATCCAAATTATAGGTAGGTAAATTATTTATGAGCACTTGTAATATATACATAAGAGGGTAGAAAAAATTATTTACAAGCAATTTCCCATGCGGGTTCTTGGGTCACATTGGGAAAACTAGAATAGATCCACTGCCTCCCCAAAAGCATGCTATAAGATTCAACAAATTGGGATCTTCCTTCAAAGTCAGAGTGAGTGCATCTGCCTGAGAGGCAAGGAACCAACAGTCTGCATAAAAATGAATCAGATCTGTGAAACAGATGTGCATGCAACACCCAGATTCCTAAATGGGACTTTAGGCCAGAAGTGGTCGAACAATCAGAACTTGCCGTTGGAGTTTACAGCTGGTGAATGCGAAGAGGAAGAAGATTTACAAGCAATGATAATATGTAATTTATAGTGGGGTTAAACTCCTTACAGCAGTAAAACATATAAACACTTGCACTATATACATTATAGGTTAGTAAAACTATTTATAAGCAATAACAATATCCTAAGCTCTAGTTATCAAAATTGGTGAATCAATTTTTTTTCAAGCAGTTACAATGTATAAATTATCATCATCCTTTTGTGCCATTATACATAACACAGAGCTTGCAGTCCATTCAGTTATCTTCTTCTTTTTCTTCTTTTCTCTACTCTGGGAATGCCATACAGCAGTGTCTCTCAACCTTCCTAATGCCGCAAGCCTTTAATACAGTTCCCTCATGTTGTGGCAACCCCCAAACAATTGTTCCCCTTCATAACTTCAATGAATATGGGTTTTCCGATGGTCTTAGGTGACCCCTGTGAAAGGGTCATTCGACCCAAAAAAAGGATCGGGACCGGCAGGTTGAGAACCACTGCCTTACAGCATCAGAGCCAGAAGAGTTCTCTGGAACAGGCCCTTCTGTTCACTTCATTCATAATACTTTTCAGTGTCTGATATTTCTATGGTCCATCTTCTGTGTGGCAGAACTCTGGGTCTGTTGCCGCTCTGTTACTGCTTTGCTACCATTCAGTTATATCCTGTTTAATTGTTTAAATATCATGAATGGAATCCAGTCCAAAACCTTTGGCTTCTCTCATTAGTGTTCGTTCATCTTAGGTTGTCTTTTGAACATCCTTGCCTCTTCAGTTCTTTTATTTCCACTTTAAATATACCATTTTGGTGATATTTTTAAGATCTTCTTCACAGGTTATGTCCAATATATCACCTTATTTTGTACCTTATAACTGTTGTATCAATGGATGTCCAGACATTTCTCTTATTTCTCATCTTCCTTGAATTCATCCCATTTAATAGTCATAAATTTCTTTCAGTATTTGTTTCTGAATGCACATTCAGTGCAGTCTTTGGCAGTTTTCCGGTTTTCACTGGCATGTGTTAAAATTGGAATACAATAAGAATTGAAAATATGTAACTTTTAAATGTATTGACATAGTTAAGTAAAATTATTTACAAGCAAGACACTGTGTAACTTATGGATTTGAGAACTGTTTACCTGATGTAAATTATATTGTAGTAAAAATATAGCAAAAGTAATATAAAAATTCTAAATAGTCATAGTATGTCACCTCAAATGGTCACCAGAATCATGAATCAGGTCTCATGCCTTGTGGCCAATACATTCTGGGATTTTTATCTTTTATCTTCTTCTGTCTGTTACACTCAGTCACCTGTTGACCATTTGAAATCACCTGGTTCACATGACTCTCCCTGCTAGCACAGGCTGCTTCTAAAGTTGTTAGGTCTGCTGAAGTCAGGATTTTTCTTGTCATCAAGCTTTCCTTCTTGACAACAATGATACTGGTCCAGTTATTCTAGCTAATGTCATTGCAGTGTGTTTCAGAACTAATCATCATGCAACTAGAGTTTCACATTATCTTGACAGAGGAACTAAATATATGCTTCACATTGTACAACATTTTTTCATAGACTAGTAGAGGGACAAAAGTATCTTCATCATCATCATGTAGCAGGAGCTTTGCAGACCATCACTCTCATCACTGTCTGCTTGAAAGAAACTCATTCTTTCACCATCTCTCCTGCCTCATGCACTTTCCTACCCAAGATGTGATTTATATCCTGCACCCACCTTCATGCAGGTTGGCCCCTGCCTCTCTTTCCTGGTACCATGTCTTCTGCTGTTGTTTTTTACCAATCCACTGTGCAGCTTAATATTGCCTTACTTCTATTTATAAGGAATACCCCTTCACCTTTAGCTGTGTATGAACCTCCAATGAGATTCTTTTCCATAAAAATGTGATCTTTATTGTGTTAATTGATAAACTTTCCATTCAGAGGCATTCAAACAAGAGGCATATCCTTTATTTTGCAGATGAGATTCGACATAAACCAAGACTAATTGCACCACATCCGCTGAATCAGACAGTAGAAGTGGGAGCCACAGTATCATTCCATTGTTACATTGAGAGTGTTGTTACACCTGAAGTTCAGGTCAGTCTTATCAGTATTTCATATTTTTCTGTCTTCTTATTATTGGTTTACATGTAGTATCTATGTTTTACTTATGTGGTCTTGAAATAAACATGCAGTATCTATGTTTTACTTATGTGGTCTTGAAATAGACATGCAGTATCTATGTTTTACTTATGTGGTCTTGAAATAGACATATAGTATCTATGTTTTACTTATGTGGTCTTGAAATAGACATGTAGTATCTATGTTTTACTTATGTGGTCTTGAAATAGACATGCAGTATCTATGTTTTACTTATGTGGTCTTGAAATAGACATGCAGTATCTATGTTTTACTTATGTGGTCTTGAAATAGACATGTAGTATCTATGTTTTACTTATGTGGTCTTGAAATAGACATGTAGTATCTATGTTTTACTTATGTGGTCTTGAAATAGACATGCAGTATCTATGTTTTACTTATGTGGTCTTGAAATAGACATGCAGTATCTATGTTTTACTTATGTGGTCTTGAAATAGACATATAGTATCTATGTTTTACTTATGTGGTCTTGAAATAAACATGCAGTATCTATGTTTTACTTATGTGGTCTTGAAATAGACATGCAGTATCTATGTTTTACTTATGTGGTCTTTAAAATAGACATGTAGTATCTATGTTTTACTTATGTGGTCTTGAAATAGACATGCAGTATCTATGTTTTACTTATGTGGTCTTGAAATAGACATGCAGTATCTATGTTTTACTTATGTGGTCTTTAAAATAGACATGTAGTATCTATGTTTTACTTATGTGGTCTTGAAATAGACATGCAGTATCTATGTTTTACTTATGTGGTCTTTAAAATAGACATGTAGTATCTATGTTTTACTTATGTGGTCTTGAAATAGACATGCAGTATCTATGTTTTACTTATGTGGTCTTTAAAATAGACATGTAGTATCTATGTTTTACTTATGTGGTCTTGAAATAGACATGCAGTATCTATGTTTTACTTATGTGGTCTTGAAATAGACATGGTTTCTATGTTATATAATATGAAATACCTATACAAATATAAAATATTGAAAATTCTCAGTATAGTATTACTGGCGAATTTAATGTGTCTATACTGATTATAGAATGGCCAGATAATGTCCAGACAGACCTGCAAACACTTAGTGTCACCAACTGGAAAGAGAACACCAACCAGAGAGATAAGTGGAGGCGGGTGATATCTGCAGCAGTGAATCCCAAGGGCTCAGAATGCTGAAGAAGAAGAAGATTGTACTGATTATAAATACATGAGCACTGAAATCTTTTACAGTGAAATATCATATATGTGTTAACATACACCATAAAAAACATGTAAATACAACATGCATTAAAAAAAATACCAGTCATATTTACATGCAAGAAAGTACATGTAAAGTGAAATGTTATTTTGTTTTAATCTTTCGGCTTCTCCAACCTAGAAGGCTAATCCCAGATTTTATTCTATTTATATAATGCATTTCTGCAGATCTAGTTCTGCATTATGTTCTTAGCTTTGGCTTTAACTCTTTGTGTACCAGACAATGTACCTTGCATTTCTCGGTCTTTTCAAAAATAATATACTGTTTTTGTTACATTCTGTCACAGACAGATATTAACCATTTGCATCTGAATTATTAGTTCTCCCCATGTTAGTTCTGGGGCCCCATTATTGGGGAGGTGGGAGGATAGACCCACTGCCTCTCTAACATCCACATGATGTACGAGGCGACTAATTAGGGGAGTTTCCTTTCAAGTCTGAGTGCATCTAAGAGACTAGGAACCAGCAGTTTATATACAAAAATGCCAGATCTGTAAAAATGGATATCTATGCAAAACTCTAATTCTGGAACGAGACCAAAGTCTTCAAATGGACTTACAACCAGAACTTTCCACCAGAATTTACAGCTGGTGAACACTAAATAAAGGTTCTTTTTCATACCTGAATATGCATTGCTTTTAAGCTCTATCCTTACAGTTAAAGTACACTAGGCTTGGGACTGAAAGAATTAATACTCACGTTTTTTAAGCAATGTCTTGTAGTCACAGCGGCTTAGGCGTTGCGAGTCAGACTCGTAATTCCAATGTACCGCAATCGAAACCCACTGCTGGCTGCATGGATTTTTATCATGGTATGGGGCGTCGCAGGTCGCCCAGCTTAAAATGGGTACCAGGATGGCTGTCCTGAGGAAGTAAAGTCAGGAGACATAATGCTGAGCACATTACCCACCCAGTGCCGATGGTCTGTAAAAATATGGGCACTCTTCCTGTATACCCGATACGCCTAAAGGCGTGAAAAGGGATCTTTACTTTACTTTACTTGTAGTCACATTAACTATAATGAATGTTCTGTTTAACATTTACTTTTTCTTCTGGTCACTGCCACAATGCGTTGGTCATCATGGCCTCTCACTGTCTTCTGTCTTGTGGGTTGCCAATCATACAGATATTTCTCCATGCCTTAGTGTCAGACTCTCCAGCATTATCTTTCTTGGTTTCCCTTCACTTTTGTTCTCCTCCAACTATCCTCCTGTAATTTTTGCCCTCTCAACAAAGTACCCAAAGAACATGAATTGACTTATTCTGATGCATGTAATCAGTAATATTTGTGAGTTATTTTTCAAAACATCTTCACATTTCATCTGTCTATGGTATCCTCGTCATTCTTTAATAAAAGGGTTATTCAACTAAGTTTACCTAGGGGCCATAATTTTGAAAATGGGGATCACCACCGGCCAGTGGCTTGAGCCCCAGCATTGAAAGATCATTAATACAACACAAGGGGCAGTGATCCACGGGCCATTTGCCAGACCTCTGCGGGCCAAATCTGGCCCACGGCCCCCAGTTGAATAGCCCTGTTTTAAAACAACATTATAATTATATTTGCTGTAATATTTAATTAATGGATGGTATTACAATGAGTTATTTCACACCCACAGTGGCTGAAACGTGTGGACAAACCTGAAGACATTCCAAACCCAAACATAACTCTGGTGCAGTACAAGGAGGAGAAGTTTATGGTGCTAAAGAATGCAGGAATCCTGCTGGCCCGTCCAGAAAATTCCTACCTCAGCAAGCTTGTCATGCAGAAAGTTCAGGCCAAGGATTCTGGGATGTTTGTTTGCTTTGCTACCAACAGGAAAGGATTTACCACTAGACATGCATTCTTAGACATTCGACCAGGTAAGGCATTATTTTTTTTTTTTTTTTAAAAGCTTTTAAATATGTGTATATATATATATATATATATATATATATATATATATATATATATATATATATATATATATATATATATATATATATATATATATATATATATATATATATATATATATATAAGAGATTTGGTCACCAAATGCATCATAAACTTAAGCGGCATCAAAAACAGAAAAGCCATTATATTATATATATATATATATATATATATATATATATATCCCTCCTTCCCCAACTGTCTCCTTCCTTCTTCCTATATCTTCGCTCTCTCCTTGCCTACTCTCTTTCTCCCATTTTCTCTCCTCTCCCCTATCTATCCCTCTCTCTTTTCTTCTTGTGTACTTGTGTGCTCCATAACTGTCTTTTTCTAATGGTTTTGAAAAATTCACCTCTGAGCACGTCAGTATTTGTTTCTCCTATGTGTACCACATTGTTAGAACAGAACTGCCTGTCAAGAAATGCATAGAAAACCAACTCAAACAAGCTAAAGACTTCAAATGTCTTGGGAGCATATATAATCCAAAGGAAAACTGGAAACAAAACATAAGTTAGATATAATAAGGCCAAAAAAAATTTGAACAGATGTCACCAATATTGTACAACAAACACGTAACAACTGACACTAAAATAGCACTGTTCAGTGTAATAATTGTCATTAGTCGTCCCCATGTGGGATGTAATTTTTTGTTATTTGAAGCCCCACCCTGGCTTTTGCAGGTGGCCCTGAATATAGCCAGGCCTAAAATATGACCTAATGGCTGAAAGGGGTTTCTGGGACCTCTCCATGGGTGGTCTTCATCCGCATAATGGCACTTTGTGTCACCCGGTGTTTATCGCTTGTGTGATGTCCTGGTGGGGTACAACAAGAGAGAGAGTTCAATATAATGTTTTTATCAACATTATGATTCTTTCTAAGATGCATTTATTGTTTATGATTCTCTTAGCTAACTTGTGGTCTTGTATGAATCCAACCTCATGGATTGCCCTTTTGTACATTTCTGCTCCTGAATTAATATACGTAAAGTCTAAATGCACTTTCCTACAACCAGTTCCTTTAGTTCTTGTGTCTGTTAGTCCTAATATTGCTATTTTGCATTCTCTCATTTCTACTGTGATTGGTTTCTATTTTGTTCTTAACTTCACAAATAGTGACAGTGCACATTTTCTTGATATTCTTGGGTACTGTCCCTTTCATTCAAGTCAGTCCCTAAGATTTCTTGATATTCTTGGGTACTGTCCCTTTCATTCAAGTAAGTTCCTAAGATCTCTTGATATTCTTGAGTACTGTCCCTTTCATTCAAGTCAGTTCCTAAGATCTCTTCATTTTTCTGTGAACAATAAATAAACCACTGTTGGTTTGCTAGACCTGTTACAATGTTTTCAGATTTCCCAGAATGTCACACTTGAACTAGACTATCAAATTCAGACTAGTATAACACAACTTCCACTGTAGGATGTCCAAAACTTACTCCGATTAGATGTTGGCCGAATATTAAACAGGAAGAGGGGAGCATATTTTTTTTTTTTCAGAAGATGGAAGAATTAATAAAGAAATCCAACAAAGATGCAATAAAGCCAACCTAGTTATAGGCCAGATGGCACCAGTTTTTAAATGCAAATACACAACTATGAACACTTAAAGCTCACTGTTCAACACAATATTCTTACCAACACTGTCCTGTTGATGTAAAAAATGGACACTGTTTTTCAGAAAACAGAAGGAAAATAGTTACTACAGAAATGAAATGTTTACATACTATGTTAGGTGTAACAAGGAAAGATCAACTTAGGAACAATGATATCAGGAGGAGAGTCAGCACAGAAACAATACTGATCCTTATCGGGAGACAACAGATCAAGTAATTTGGCCATGAAAAGCTATTGGCATCAGACAGGGCACCACAGAGAGCAATATTATACAGATACAACAGTTACAGAGCCAGAGATCAAATACACAGAAGATGGACCACAGAAATATCAGTCACTGAAAAGTAGGGTATACGAGGCGAACAGAAGGGCCAGTTTCAGAGATTTATTTTTTCCTGTCCTAATAGTGCAAGGCATTCCAGGAGTAGAGAAAAGAAGAAGAAGACCAACATTATACCACAAGCGCCAAACATAGAAATTAAGAGCAAAATAAAACATAAAAATTTAAAAAATAAAAATAAAATGTCTATGAGAAATTCTGAATGTAACAAGAGACAAGATAAGATTGATAATATAGGGAAACAGGTTAGAATAGAATTTGGGCTGGACTAAATCAAGTCATTGGGTTAAATGAGCTAAGACATGTAACTTCTCCATATGGGTTCCAAGCCTCTTTTGGGGATGGGGGGGGGGGGGGGGGTAGGAATAGACCTACAGTTATAAAAGGCAACTAATAAGGAGTGTTTCCCTTTGAAGTCAGAATGCATATGTCTGTGAGGCAAGCAACTAACAGTCTATATACAAAAAAGCCAGATCGGTAAAACATATGTACATGCAAAACTCAAGTTCTGAAACAGGAAAGTCCATAAATGGATGAACAACCAGAACTTTTTGCAGCCGGTGTACACTAAGAAGAAGATAATAAAACATACATCAAAACTAACACAAGAATGTGCACCACAGAGAGTCCTGTCACTTGGACATAGTGGAAACAGAAGCTGACAGTGCAGGCAATGGATAGATGGAATGTCTAAGGCTGTAAATACCAGTATCAATGCAGCACACACCAAAGCTTGCACCAGATGCAAAACCTGACACTGAAAGGCAAAATCGACTAGAAAAAAGAAGAAGTGACAAGTATGCCTTACAATTCTCACATTGTGGCATGTGCAAACAATAGTCACAACTGTACCTTTCAATTCTAGACCATGCTTGTTCAGGAATAAAAATGAAATATTTGTGATGTATTATTAGAACCATTCAAGTAAACTTTGTTTTTATAAAAAAAATTTTATTTTCATTCTATTTTTAATAGGTGGCAGCTTGGGTGGTTCTTCAGGAGGGGACGGCTTATCATCTCATATGGACGACCAGCTATCTAGTGACTTTTCGTCCTCCATTTCTCAAGATGGCAGTAGTTCATCTGGAGACTCGTCTGAAGATTCCAATTTACCCCTTTTGATTGGCCTGCCTTCCTGTGCTGTTCTTATTATTATCCTCCTAACTGTGTTTCTCATGCAGCGCAGCAATCGTTGTAAACGTTCAGCCACAAATAACAAAGTGACTCGGCCACCAGTGCCTCCCCAAGAAAGAGATGCATTATCTTACAGTAGCAGTCAACAACAGCAGCAGACCGTGAACCCACTGTTGGCCTCACGTGAAAAACCGCCCAAAACACCAACACCATCTGTAGATATGACCTGTTCAGAGTTTTCATCAGTGTCCAGAACTCACCCAAATCCTCATTATTATCACCCTAATCACATGAATTATGGATATTAAGCAGAAACTGTTCAAGATCTCTTCTACATTACTCAGGTAGAAAAAAGAGTACATTGTTTTTAAGCATTGAGCTTGACAAGGTGAAACTTTCCTGAATATCCTGACAAGTTTGACAGCCTTGAGTCAGACTTTGAAGATGGCAGGCTTTATTTTGGTAATCAAAAGTTGGGGAAATGTTTTTCCCCATCATTAAACTTTCCAGAACAGACTTCTTCCCCATGTTAGAGGAGCTACAAAGTTTCTGCATACAGATGTTCAGCATTTGAAGTTAGAATTTTATTAGAAGTTGATCAAAGTAGAAAGTTAATTCAATCAATATATTTCACTAGTACAGAATTATTTAAATAGTTAAGAATAAGTTGATAAATGATCTTTATATAGTTTAGGCAAGGGTATAGTTAAAGTGACTTGTAGATATAAAAATGTGTTAAACTGTAGAATAGGTTCTGTCTAAATATTATAAAATTCCATTACAAATCATGGTTTATGATAAATATTCCATGGCAACTGTGCCTTTATCATTGTCAGTGATGTTCTATCAGCTTAGTAGCATATTTATGATTTGCTGCGAGTCTGCTGAATGTCTCCAACAGTGAGACACACCTACAGAAAGACATCTATTTTCAGATGAAAAGTTGCCTTTATAAAGACCTTTAAATGGTTCCTGTTATTTACAGTTGCTTCTTCAGACTACATTTGTTAAACAGATTTGATTATCAATTTCTAGATGTCTCTTGTGAATTTTTAGTACTGTTTTTAGTAGTAATAGGTTTTCTTTTTAATTCTGACTTAGAAGATTTTAATTTTCTTTATTGAAGATTTGCTTCATTTGTTTCGAAAAGTGGTCAGTTGATATTGCATATTTGAATTTTGATCTATACCATGATTGTGCTTGTCATATTACTGGTGTCTGACATATTATTCATTTATTATTTAACTGTTTTATTTTGGCTGTATTTGTTATGTCGGCTCTGTGGCTAAGTCGATGCGAACACTTTGCTTCGTAATGCCGGGATGCCAGGTTCGATCCCAGCTGCGGGCAATGCGCCTTGCGTTGGTTTCGACAGTGGTATCAAGAAAGCCAACCGTCCAGAAAGCAATGGCAAACTACTGGACGTAAATTTGCCTAGAGAAACCACACAACAGCCAGGGGCTGTTAGGGTTGGTTCTGCAACGTCCTCTAGAGGATACGCAACAACCTTTATTTGTTGTTATAAGAGATATATATATTTAAGTAATTACCATACTCACATAGGGCTGAAGGATATACCAGGGTAGTTATTGATGTAGTTTAATTGATTAATTGATTGGTTTGTCCTTTCTGGGCTGCTACTGAAACATTTTACCATACCATCCTGAGATTAAACATTTTTTCATCTGGACAGCAAACCAACCTGGCAGATCCCAGAAACCCTGTTCAAACCCCCAAGTAGTTATAATTAGGGCACCCTTGAAGGTTACACTGGCCAAATTAGAAGGAGCATGAACCAAAAGGAAAACAGAAATATAAGGGCAGGAGGAACACACTTAGACACAGGAACGGATTGAGCAATCTTGCTTTGAGGGAAGAAGGACTAAGCCAGAAAGCTGGCTCAAATACTACAACTTCAGCCACGAAAGTGGTGCAAATTAACCAGACCACAAATATAACTGGAGACTGTTGGCTAGCTAACAGCAAGTTGAACATGGTTGGTTTTTTCTTTAAACGGAACGGAAATTGAATGGGGTACCAAGGATTTACCCTGTTGTTTTGCCATCCAGGATATGATTCCTGACATCAATGTTTTAGTCAGACCTTCAGACAGCAGCCAGGGGAGGAAAAACATACAGACAGATACATTTTAGTGATATATCTTGTCATTAGGAGACCTGTGTTTTGTTTCTGTTTTCTGCACACTTAGTCAACTGGTAACAGATATGTCTAACATGTCTTTTGTTACAAAAGACTGAATTTAGTCACGAAAATCAAAGCTTGCTTGTACTTTCAATGTGTTAATTCTTAAATGCTGGAATGGACTTTAATAAATTTACTTTTCACATAATTTGATTAAAGCTATTAAAAAGGTTTTGTGTTTATAAATGTCACTACCTTTACAAAAAATAAAATGTGTCTGTTTTCAGATGTTATTGTAGTGAAATGTGATGACCTGAGTAATATACTTGCCTAATTAGTATCAAAATGAAAATAACAAACAGTTATTAAATAGAGATATTTTTCAATTTATATGTGTATTTTATTAGCTTTCTGTAATAATGTAACAATGTCTGAGTAGAAGTAACATTAGTCTCTCTAGACCCCACCCATATACACACTAGCTCACTTCTGATTGGTAGTTCTTGAGCCCCATGACCTTTGCACAAAGTTACGGGGGTGTTCCGCAATGCTGTTGAAATCGCATGTTGTATTTTTCAGCATGCCAGCACTTTTAACACTCCAAAAACATGGAGAAACTGGCTCTAACACAACTCCCATAGAGAGTGCTGCAACCTAAGTCACGGGCATTCTCTTTCTCAGAATGAAATGGTAAATGCAAGACATCGCAGAAACAAAACAACAGAGCAGGACACACCCACAACCTACAGGATAGTCGACCAGCCCAACAAACTTGTGAATGAAAAGAGACCTACTCTATTTGGGGAGACTAATGTGAACCTAATCAATATCTGTCAACTGTAACAAAATATAACACATTGTCCGGTTACTGAGGAGTACCCCTTTAGAAACAAGTCGAGTACATTCAGAGCAGTTGATCATTGTAAATAGTCCAATTTCTATCCCATGAGAAGTGTACATAAATCTAACTGGTCATGAGAGTTTTCTTTGTTCTGAGAGTTTCTAGGACAATGTATAATGTGTAATTGCTACAGATGCTGCCTTGAAAGTGGTTTTCAAGTATTTTTTTAAATTTTAGACTTATCTGTAGTTACTGCACAAGGCATACGAGATGTAAGCTCAGCATCTCAGTGTGGGTTCCAGGGCTACATTTAGAAGGAGGGAGGAAAAAAGAATAGAGGCATTGTCCCTTGAAAACCATGTTGTATATGGCAACAAATATAGGGTTTTGCTCAAATTGGACGAGTTGGATCAAAAAGTAGGATATTGCAGCCTGGCTGTAAACTTTAACACAATGTGTTAACCACCTATATAAGCTTGAATGCTGAAGAAGGAAGATATTTAAAAAATGAAAACAGATTTACAATAGGAGCTTCCGATTCCTCATGTCGGTTCCTGGGCTCCATTGGAGCGAGGGGGGTTTGTACCCACTGCACCCACCCCCCCCCCCCCCCCCACCCCCCCCCCAAAAAAAAGCATAATGACTAATTAAAGTTGTTTTCTTCTGAGCCGAAGTAGAATCTTCTGAAAGCCGAGGAATTAACAATCTGCACACAGATAACCCAGATCTGTAAAAACAGATGTGCATGCTCAAAACTCAAGCTTGATATAAAGGCTAATGTTTAGAAGTGGATGAACAACCAGGATTTTTTACCAGTTTATTGCATGGTAAACACACAGAAGCAGAGAACAAAGAGCTAGCAATAATTGTTAACTGTGCAATTGACACCTGGACACTTTACATTTTCTGTTAGTGTGTCAAACACAGGGAAACAGAGGAAGTCTGTGGCTTTTATCCCGAGCTCATGGTCGTGTTTTTTTTACTTTTTATTATTTTTAGTGTTTATGGGCTGTAAACTCTGGTGGAAAGTTCTGGTTCTTCATCTACTCCTGAGTTTTGGACTTGATTCAAAGCTTGAGTTTTATGTGCACATCCGTTTCACAGATCTGTGTTATTTGTATGAATTTTGTTGGTTCCTTGTCTCAGGCAGATGCGACTTTGACTTTGAAGAAATGCCTAATTAGTTCCCTCCTACGACATGCTTGCTTGCTTTGGGGGAAAGGGGGGGGAGATCTTTCTTTGTTTTCTAAAGTGGAACCCTGGAACCCACACAGAAGAGTCGCATGTTCAAATGCACATTATAGTAAACTTTTAAAATTAACCCAGCCTCTTATGGGCTCCAGGATATGTCCCGAAAAGTCAACTTGCCAGGCATAGAATTGACTATATAAGGTGGCAATTGTAAACATGGATCTAGCACCATTTATCAAAAACACCCAGTGGCATAAAATGGGTCCTTTAATTTTACTATATTTTATATCTGCTTACTATTGATAACAAATATTGCACAATCAGATTCTGTCCATTGATTATTTGTGTAGGAATGTGCTGTATTCTTGGCACCATACTGAGAGTCATTTTTCAGCAGGTGTGTCTTTCTAGAGCAGGGCTATTCAACTGGCTGTCCACTAAGCCAAATCTGGCCCATAGAGGCCCTGTAAGCGGGCCACAAATCACCCAATAATTGTATAATATTAAAGATCATTCTATGCTGTGGCTGGGGCTTCTGGTCCATGACAATCCTGATTTTCCAACATTTTAGTCCCAGAGTAAGCCTAGTTGAAATGCCCTGTTCTAGATTCTATAGTCCTACTTGAACTGACTTGTAGTCTAACACCTGGTCACATTCTTGCTGTTTCTGTGAGTGTTCTGTAAATAATTTTCAAATGTAAATATTATACATGTTGTTGCTTGTCTCTGTAAGGATAAAGTATTTTGTGTTGAAAGTATCATCAGATTTTCACTGCCATGTTTGAATGTCATAATATGTAATGCAGCATCCATCTATAAGTAGACACTGAATGAAAAATTAAGAAAATAAGAACAGATGGTAATTATTTTGGCTCAGGTGGTCTCCATAATTGTGTGCTATCACTCTGGGATGTAATCTATTTCTACAGCCTGTATTTACCAGATTTTATAGCAATGTAGGACAAGTAAATTTTGAGTGAGGATTTAGTGCAATATGGCTAATGCTATCCCATTAGCTGTTCAGATTAGGATTTTATTTGTTGCCTTTAACAAAATATTCTCATCTTAAAAAGGTTTCCAGGCTAGTACTCGCAAATGAGAACCTATTATTCTAGCAATTTGGCCAGGCACTCT